AAAAAAAATAAAAAAATTCCCCCCCCCCCCCCAGTTAAGATTTCCCAAGGTTTTGCCTGATTTTCAAAATTATTCCCCAGATCCCAAGGGGGGTCGTGAATTCCCAAGATCTTGGGAAATTTCCCAAGTTGTGGTAGCCCTGCTTCCGCTGTGAAAGTCATAAAAACTATGTATGCTTTCACATAGAAAATGAAACAATTGTAAATACTAGTTTTTAATCATTTTTTTCTGACACTGTCCTTGTAAACGAACATAGTTAAAGACTACAAATAAGTTAATGAGTTCTTCAAACGAAATGAACAATTACTGCACCCATTTAAATTTAAAAAAAACAAAAAAAAAACGCCTTAATCATTAAGACGTTGTTTTTTTTGTTTTTTTTATTAGCAGCGTTTCACTATTCATTAAAGTTCTTAACTACTAAACTAACTACTACTACTACTAGCATAGAAAACGACTCACAATTTGAAACCGAATTCAACAAATAAATTCAAGTTATTATTCAAGCAAATTATAAGGCAACAAAATTTAAAAGTTAATTCAATATTCATGAATTTCATATTCAAGTTATAAGATATAGGCTAGGCAATATAGGGCCTACACGTTTGTTGACCACCCCGGCCCCGGTGACTGCTTATGCCAATGCCTCTCAATGCCTCAAACATCCGCCCTGGCCCCAAACCCCTCCTTTAAATGCTACAAACCTCCCTGTAGCACCATAAAAAAAAGCACCCCACTTGACTCCAACATCTAAATGGAAAGACATCCCTTCCAAGGCCACTCATTATCCCTTCAGTTATCCCCCCCTACCCCCCCCCCCCTTTTTTGAAATTCTCTCACTCCCAGTTCAATACATCCTCAAACCCCATTTTAAATATATAAGCACCATAAAAAAAAGCACCCCACTTGACTCCAACATCTAAATGGAAAGACATCCCTTCCAAGGCCACTCATTATCCCTTCAGTTATCACCCACTACCCCCCCCCCCCTTTTTTGAAATTCTCTCACTCCCAGTTCAATACATCCTCAAACCCCATTTTAAATATATATGCCACACCAAGTGCCATCACGTGTTTTTTGGAGGCACCCTGCCACTCTCTATACATTGCCCTATCGCTCCAAATCTTTCCATCCAATCCTCATTCCGACTCCTGCCTCCCTTGTGAACCTCTCCGCACAGTTATCACCCCCCACCCTTTGTTACCACCTCAGCTTTATGTAAGATTGACAAAATTGAAATTGTTATAAATTACATTTATAGCTCCACACACAATTTCCAAAATAAGTGAGACATTGCAAAATATAAGGTTCATTTCAAAAGCTACAGATGCTAGCGATCATGGTTCGGAAAAATATTATTCCTTACATCAATTCAGTGTTATAATTGGAATCATCGAGGGCTTGAAACAAAAGCTCTTGATTTATGTAGCCTGCCAATTAAAAAATCTGAAACAATAATTATTTATTACATGTTTATATAAAGTTTTTAACAGGAAAAAGGTATTTGAAACTGAAGTGGAAAAAATGCCGATAAAGACAATTGTGAACTCGATTTTCAGTTCCTGAGTTGAGCGAAGACTGAAAATTGAACAGTTCAACTGTATTAAAAACTGACAAAACACAATTTGAACAGACATTTTTTTTTATTAAAGGCAAATAAATTGATCATCATGACAGAAAAATAAAAGAAAGATGGCAGAAAAGCAAACGTTGTTTGACATTGGTTTTTTAAGGCTTCAGATGTTCCATCAAATAGCTCTTTGGTGCAACCAGAAGAAAATAATTTAGGAAGCAGGGAAATGTGGCTATTGTGGTCAGTAGCATTGGAAATGACCAAGTTAACCAAATACTGGGAAAGCCAGTTGGAGACGTTCTGTTGCAGCCTTTCGACAATTTGAAACGCATACATTTTCATTGGCTCACCTAGAGAGTTTTGTTATTTTTTTTAACCAGATCTACCAAAGATGGTGGAAAAAGTGCTTTTCCAATGTCAATTTTGAAAGGCAGACGGGAAAATCAGGAATCTTTTTCAAGGCTTGGCCTGCATGTAGACCTGGTTGATCACATAAGTCTATTTATTTGTATGAATCTGAATCCCTTCAAAGTTGAAGGCTGCGGGTGATCCTCTAAAGTAGCATTACTGTGATGAAGGTCCGCGGACTAGCATTGGTTGGCACAAGATGAATAGGAACTATTATTTATCTTCAAATAAAAATATAATAATATAATTAATTTAATATATCTGGCCCTGGCCCCTGGTGCAATTTCAAAAATTGTTCACAGGTCTGCCAAACTTAAAAGTTTGGGAAACGTTGCTCTAGTGTGGATTGCAGCTGTTTTATCTTCATTTTCAAGGTTAATAGATAACTAGAAACAATTTTTAACTAACATTAAAAGCTGTTTCTTCTCAGTAGGGGAGTCCTCTTTAATCAAAGTCTGATGTAGGCCTAGTTATGAATTTGGCAACATGCCCATGAAATGCTTAATATTTGGAACTCAAGGTAAATAAGGGTAAAGACAAAACTTAAAATTGTTTAATACTCAGATGTTAATCTGTTCTGTTGAATAACTCAGAAACCTAGCAATCAACAAAGAGAGCGGGAAAGACTGTAAACCTTCATGAATAGTTGCCTTTGCAGATTCCCAAACAACAGATAGTTTCACAAAATCCAAAATATAAGTTAGGGTTGGGTGACATAAAGTTCCCAGTGGAATAATAAATTCAGAAAAGAAGATGGATATAAATAAATATTAATATATATATAAGAAAAAGGGTGCCAAAGTGAAAATGAGTAAGCACTTGTATGAGGAAATCTGGTATAAAGAGGATGGGCTAGACCAATTATAAAGACAAGGAAAGAGTTTGAGAAGATTACAAGAGATCAGAAGGGATGGAAAGATATTTTTAATATGCTCCACTGGGAGTTTAAAAGGCAAAGAGGAAGAGCCACTAATGTGGAAGATTTTAGAGCCATAAATTTATGACCAGTTGTTTTTTTTTCGGTATAGTAGCCACAGTGTGTAGGGTTGTTAGAGCATGTGTGTTGACCTAACTTTACTTCAGCTTCAAAGTAGTGTTGTGGCCACACTCACTAGTCTTCCTCCTTTTTGATATCGATGTCACCGATTAAACGTGTAACACAGTACCAACCCCACCCTTCCCTTGATTTGGGAAAAAGGTTGTTAACGTTCTATTTGCTCTAAAGAATACTATCAAGTGATGAAATTTTAGAATCTCTTTTCTGCAGGGTTTTAACTTCCTCCCTATATATAAGGCAGTAGCTTTCCCAGCCAAACGAGATTTTTTGCTCGATTTTCCTAGACTTTTTACAAGAGTTAATATTTGAGCCTTACAAGATTGTACCCTTTGTGTGTTTGTATTTTTCGAGGATTATACTTTTTTCGCTTGCTGTGATGAAAGTTAATATATTTTTTATTTATGTATATTTGATTTTGTATTTTTATATACACCTTTTAGTATAATTAAAATGAATATTTTATTTTCACTGGCTTTGGTATCGTTTTTCTGTGTATACTGGTTTCCAGTCCTTTGTTATATATTGTTCATCAAATGAGCCACATCTTAAAACAGCTTAAATTTTCGAAACAATATAAAGGTTTATAGTTATATAAGGGTTCATAAACCACTTCACATTCAAATACATAAACTTTTAGTCAGAGCCTCTAACGAAGAACTAGAGGTACAATTATAAATGAAAATTTTAAAAAACAACACTGTATGATAGTTTATGATTACCAATGTTACGCTCTCCCATTCATTGTTTGTTAAAATTAAAAAGATCAATTAAGATTTAATGATAATTCTTAAGGCCCCTAATATTAAAACTGGATCTGCCTTGGTGAGTAATTCTTGGTGTTCTGATAATAGATGACATTTCTGATTAGCTATAGTTTACCAGTTCAATCCCCTTTGTCTATAATCAATAAAACAACTAAATAAAAATCTATTTATAGTCAATTTTTAACGCTCTGGTTTTGAAAAATAAAAAGCTTCTATTAGCTATTTAATTCTCATTAGAAGACTGATTTATGACTTCCACCCTCTCAAATTACAATTATATGCCAGCAAATTTCCAAATAGTAAGCTAAAAACTAACAATCCCCTTCCCCACCACACACAGTTGATACACAGTGAGCTTATGATTTATTAACTCTAAAGAAAAAGGATAAACTTGCAAAGTGTTCTTTCTTTTTTTTTTTAAATTACTTTATTCAAAGTCAAAGCAAATTCTAATTTGATAAGATTTTTTATTGCAATCCATAACATCATATTCATGTGGCTCAGAACACACCTGTGAATATTAGAGATAAATCAATTAATTTTTTTATTTACAAAAACAAATAAGTCAACATTATTAGTCAATGATTCTAGTTACACTATTGAGGACCCCTGGGTTCGGGGTGGGGGAAGAGGTTTATAAAGGTAGATTGTGATGCTTCAAGTAATGGAAGATGAATTGAGGTCACAGAGACATGTATACGATAGGTGCATTTTTGTGGATGATTGAATTTAATAAGGTTAGATCGCTTGACCATTTATTGAGTTTGTTAATAAGGTTAGATCGCTTTACCATTTATTGAGTTTGGTAATAAGGTTAGATCACTTGACCATTTACAATGTTTATCAATAGGATTAAAACTTGGTTAACTGATATTGAGTTGTCTCTCAATGGATTTTTTTTTGCATACAGTATCATCACTTTCCCCCAAAGTCTTATTGGCATGGGAAAAAAAACAGCTTAGCATAGTAATTAGTGGTGATGCGTTGGAGTAACATTATGCATGTTTGTGAATAAATATTCTGCAATGTTTTACCTATAAAGGGGAGTTAAATACTGAACACGTCGTCATGCATTAATTGTACTTCTTAAACTTATTTTTAATTGGGAAAAAAACTGAAAAAAAAAAGACTTTTTCCCCATTACTGACTATGATTTACCAATTTCACTTAAGCTTTTTCTTCATCTGCTTCATCTTTAATCATAGAGAGCTTGCGAGGGGCAGGTCTTGGTGCAGGTTTGGGACCTACTATAAAAAAAAATTCTATTTATAGCAAATGTAAGAAATAATTGGAACTGGAAGAGATTATTTGAAAGTCTTTTGGCAAGAATCAGCCCCTCTTTTATTTTGGTTAAAAATTATATTTAATTTGATCTTATTTTTGTTAAAATTATTTTTAAAAAATTAAAATGTAAGAAATGCTTCAATTTTGAATCATCACAATAAGTTCAGGAGTACTTGAAGCTGTAATTTAATTTTATAATTTAAAGTGTAATAAAATTTAAAAATAAGAAAAAAACATCAACTCAAAAACAAGAAAATTGTGTGTTTTATCATAATACTTAAATCACATTTGAAGCAAATATTGAATAGCTAACTTTTATTGTTGACTACTACCGGTACCTTTATTTGATTGGATTTGTTTGAATTTCTGGAACAATTCTGTATTCTCATCAATTTTCGGTTCATCATCAAACACTGACAAATCATCTTCACTTCTGGCCTTTTTCATTTTATTCTTGAAAAAAACAAAACATTCTTATGTATTATATAATTATAAAATATATATTATTATTTTTTAAAATAGCATTATAGTAATTGATTTTTAAAACCAAATCTTACTAGAATGCCTTGGAGCTCCATCATTGCCTTTCCATCAGTAGCATCTTGGTCAGGACAGGACGCCTAATAAAAAAGGGGAGAAAAATTGTTTTAGAAAAATATTTATCAGTGAAATAGTGAAACTAGAATAAAATCAAAATTGTTTGCATTAAAATTAAAAGGATAAAAGAATTCAACTTCACATTGTCATTTTTCCTCTCAGTTCCAATTGAATTATCGTATAGTTAACAATATCAGTCAAACATTTCTGATAATTTAACAAAATATTATCATAAACAATATTGATTAATAGGGAACAAATTGTAAAATAAATGTCATTTAAAGAAGGGACAAATTTAATAAATGAAAGATGCTGTTACCGTTCGTGACTTGAGGACAGGTCTAAGGCCAATGTTTCCCTGCTGGATACGTTTCATCATCTCATCAACAGCCTTGGAATAGTCATTATTAACAGCAGCACCCCCCAGTTGCACTTTTAAAGAACATTTAGAAAGATTAAATTACAATCAGGCCATATAATAAATATTACAACTTAACATTTTTGTTGGGAAAAAAAAATGTTTTATCAGATTAAAAAGGCTACTAGAAAACTGATATATTGGGGGGGGGGGGGGGGGCGCGAGGGGGGGATGCAGACAACTGGAAAAAAATTGCTTGGATGAGAGGTCTCATTTTAGAAAAAGGGAAGAAAAATGGGTTAATGGGTGGAATCACCTCGTAATAAATATACCTACATCGTTTCTGAGTGAGTTCTTTCTGTTTTTTTCTGCCTCCACCTGTAATTTTTGCCAGAAATCTGAACAAACAGAAAGCAAAATCATTAAAATGTAAGATAATTTAATATTTATAATGTCTAAAATTATTTACAGAATCTGAGTAAAATATATACCGGTATACATTTAGGAGTCTTACCCTCCTGATTTACTCATTTGAGGTGGTAGTGGAGGAGCAGGTGGTGGTGGAGGTGAAAGAGCATATTCATATTTTGTTTCAAGCTCTTCATCTGCAAATGCATTAAGGAAGCAATTCTTATAATCTATATTACAGGATTTCATGCACTCATATCAAGTAAATAATTTTACCCTGAACATTTTCCCCACTGGTTTGTTTTAGTTAACTCCTTTTAAAAAATTATTTTCAGAAATGGCCAAAGCCTATAAACTGTAACTTTTAAAAAAAAAGTGTATGCCTACAGGTAGAATTAGTAGCACCACTAATGAGTAGTTCACTGAATTTCAATCAAATTATCGATTATGATCTTTGATATGATATATAAATAGTTGTATGCTAAAATTTAGGTTTGACAACAGTTGACAAAAGTAACTGACCCTTGACAAGTCATGTTATTCATTTTTTTTTCACTTTATCTGAGGCAAAAACTATCAATATTAAAAAACAAATCATATAAAACACTAACACTTTTTAAGGATTAACAAGTATTGGGATCTCTGATCTTCTGCTGCCTTTTCAGCCTCAGTGAGTTTCATTAGTAGTGAATCTCTTTCTTGCAGTAGAGATGAGTTTTCACCCTCCAAAGACTGAGAGGTAGGATTATCTGTCTCACTTTTCAATTGATCTTCCAGAAGTTGAATCTTTGAAAGAAATTTGTTTTTGTTTCACAAAACTTAATGACTAATAATAAAATTGCATACAATAAATTAGACTTTGTCTCAAAATTCATATTCAGAATTTGTGCAAAATATTTTGATAAACCCATTTTTTAACTTCACTCCTTGACAGCTTTAAAATTATTATCTTCCCTTAGAATCAGAATCTGGTCTCCAAAATCAGTAAAACAATTATGTTCCTTGATTTTAACAAACATAGAGCACATATAAGGACTTTCAAGTTTGTACCTTCTCAGAACATTTGAGGGAAAGCAGGGATAAATAAATCATTGGATCAACTGATACTAGTGATATATTATGATAAAATAATATATCGTGATACGATACAAAAACTTTTGAGACAAAACAATTCCTTCTTTTACTTTGTACTCAAAGTCTTTCCTCATGGTTTCCATTTTGGTGGTTAGCTCTTCAATTTCAATAAGAGCTTCCATTAGCTTCCTCTCCCCTGCAATATCTTTCATTAGCATAGCACTCTGTCTTCTGGCTGCTTCCCTCTCTCCATATAACTGAAAGAGGAAGGCAATGTTTTTGTCATGTTTATTTAAAATGCTTCCAAGCAATACTCTGCCTCACTAAACTACAAAGGGATATTAACACTAGCATATCACAGCGATCTTATCAGTCTTAGTGCTGTAAAGAGGCATTAGCAAGTTGGAGAAGACATGGACTCATTTTTTAAATTTTAAATTTAAGTTTGAGAATAGGGACTAGTTTTTTGCCTCTTCTTTGAACAACACTTCCTACCCCCCCCCCCCTCAAAAAAACATTAACCATAATTGCTTAACACTTTTTTAAATAGATTTTTGCAATTAAGACTGGTGAGAAATATTTTTTAAAGTAGCTAGTCTATAATTTTTTAAATTTTAAATTTAAGTTTGAGAAAAGGGACTAGTTTTTTGCCCCCTCTTTGAACAACAACTCCTACCCCCCCCCCCCCTCAAAAAAACATTAACCATAATTGCTTAACACTTTTTTAAATAGATTTTTGCAATTAAGACTGGTGAGAAATATTTTTTAAAGTAGCTAGTCTATCAAACACCCTCACACTGGCAAAAAAAACAGGATTTTAATCAAGCCAAATAATTAAATATTTTTTTAACTTGAAAAATATAAAGTGCTTTTAGTATGTTAAAATAAATCTCATGTATATACTGACATTATGGGCAATCTTTTCAGCATTAGCCCGATCAGTTATCTCCCTCTCATACTGTTCCTCCAGATGTTTGTATTCATTGAATGCAGCTTCAGATGTCTTGGTCAAGAGTGCCACATTTTCTTCATACTTGGCAATAGTTTTCTTCAGGGATTCAATCTGCTTATGCATTTCATTGTTTCTATCTAGTTCAATAGCATAGTTAGTTTGCACTTCTTTAAGTTCTGCATACAATGTGCTTGACTTTTCCTCAAGCTCTACGAACAAAATATCATTAGAATATGTTAATTTGGGTGGCAATAGAACCTCATTTTCATATTAGCGATGTCATAGAGAGAGATCACATTAAAAATTAATAGTTGATGTTAATAACTAATTTTTGCTTATATAGTTGAAATAAACCCAAAGGAAAAGTTGGAGAATTATATTTTTTTAAAAATGGATTTACCTTCAACTTGTAAGCTCAGTTTTTTAATGTACTCATTTTCTTCATCATCATCCTCCTCATTGCCAAAATTGAACTCAACAACATTAAAACCACTAACTTTGTCCAATAACATCTGACTTTGACGTTTTAAAACCTTGTTTTTGCTGTTCACCTGTAGATTTTAACAATTGTTTTAATAAAATGTATAAAAATGCATAGCAGATTCAATGAGAGACATTTATCAGATGAAACGTAACTTTTAACTTTATAGATGAAATTACTGTTTCAATAATCCTATTGTTAAAATAAAAAGTATCAAATACCTGAGTTGCAAAGCGCTCTGCTTCATATTGGCAGCGCACAGCAATTTCATACTTTTCTCTGAGAGCCTCATATTCCTGTGTCACTGGTCCCAGAACTGAAATGTATTATTTATATACACAGAGCCATTTTCTCATAGTCAAATAAATAAACAACTACTTGAAATATTTTCCTCTAACCATGACAGCCTAATACACTTGATTAATACCAAGAGCTCAATAGTGGAATTTAAATAAATTTTAGTACTTTCATAACTTTCATGATTTCATTTTTAAAAATTGATTTCTATCGTAGCTTTGATCAAATGGTTTGTTTTATTAATTGCAATATTATTGTAATCCATAAAATTTTTTTCATCGGCATCCATCCGTCTCGTGAGACGATGGTGCATCACCGTTGGGTTGGGATGCATTTTCTCGAGTGGCTGTGCAGTCCTATCCTTGAGTGACAGTCTCTACCACAATTTATACACATGAGTTCCGTGCTACTAAATATTTTGGCCTTTCTCCTAGCCCTTCTGTCTGCAGCCTCTTCCATTCTTCGCTCCTCGGCTACCATGACACCCTCTTTGACAACTGTGCGCCACGTAGATTGGTCTTCTGCCTTATACTCCCAGTCACTGGTATGTATTTTGGCTGCTTTCATGTCCCTTTGACAGACATCTTTAAATCTCAGACGTGGGCGACCTGTTTTCCTCTTTCCCGAAGCAAGTTCACCATATAGGAGGTTTTTCGGAATGCGGCCGGGACTCATTCTTTTAACATGACCTAGCCATCTCAGGCGTCTTTCACTAAGGATTGTGAACATGCTTTGGGTATTCGCACGCATTAGGACCTCACTATTAGTCACTTTTTCTTGCCATTTCATGTACGGAAACTAAATTAAAACTTTTATAATGGTAATATAGACATAATTAGACCTATATGTTAAATGCCAAAATAATATTATAATTAGCACACAAACAATTTTACAATAAAATTATTTCTCAGCCAGGCTGAATTTTATTTTCGAAGTTTCTACACGTGCGGCAAGCAGACAAATAAGTTCTCGAGATATTCGACCTGTGACCACATCAAATGACCGCGGTAACAAAGTTGCGTGAAATATTTATCCGTTAGCCTTATCAAGTGGCCACTAGTAGTCGATTAGAAAAATGGCGGCGGAGATGCTTCTATATCTTAAGGGCCCACAATCAATTTATTGCTTGTGGGCATCGAGTTTACATTATTTCAATAAATAGGCATAAGGGATGCATACTAGAAGGAAGAAATACTGAGAGCAAGAGAAAAAGGATAAAAATGATAGTGAGGGTGATAATTAGTTATAGCCAATAGTTCACACAAATATAGACCCTAAATCTTAATATAGGTCCAATATAATGTGCTGCTGGGGTAGCCTACTTCTCATGTAATAATAATAGCTTAAAATAAACCTTTTCTGATGTAGGTCTATTAATAGCCAACTGGTAGGTATTGGTTTTATTTTGTTTGGTTCACATTTTAAATTCACGCTATTAGGTAGAGCTTTATAACATATTTCAACCAGAAGCGTAGCTGGCAGGAGGGGGTGGGGCAGATTTTCCTGGGTGCCAGATTAGTTAGGGACGCCAAAAAATGTTTGATATTTATTACTTTATTGAATAAAATAATAGGTTTCAGAGTTAAAAAAAGAAGGATAACGGTGGAGGGGGGGGGGGGGCGCTGTAAAATTAATCTTGTCTAATGGCTCCTAACACTCTACTATTTCTCTCAATTAATCCAAAAAAACAGACTTTTTATAAATTTTTTAATTTAATACCAAGGATGCGACGCAGGCATCTCATATGGAAGCTATTAAGCTTGCGCTCTTGGGATGTATAGGTGGTCCATGTCTCGCTCCCGTATAGTAGTGTACTGATGACACAAGCTCGATAGACGCACAGTTTAGTTTTCTCCGTTAGCTCGGTGTTTTGCCAGACCCGTTTATTTAGTTTAGCCATTGTGGCAGCTGCCTTGCCGATTCTGCTGTTAATTTCTTCTTCAATGGACAGTGTATTGGAGACCTTGGACCCCAGGTAGGTGAAGCTGTCCACAGCCTCCAAGTTTTCATTATCGATTTTTATGTTAGGTGGAGGCTTGGTGTTTTGCCAGACCCGTTCATTTAGTTTAGCCATTGTGGCAGCTGCCTTGCCAATTCTGCAGTTAATTTCTTCTTCAATGGACAGTGTATTGGAGACCTTGGACCCCAGGTAGGTGAAGCTGTCCACAGCCTCCAAGTTTTCATTATCGATTTTTATGTTAGGTGGAGGTCGAGTGTCTTGGGCCATAATGTTTGTCTTTTTCAAGCTGATTTGCAGACCAAATTCTTTACAGGCATTGGAGAAGCTTGACACCAGTTGTTGCAAACCAGTTTCTGTGTGCTGTTAGTGCCACATCATCTGCAAATAGTAGCTCGCGAATTAGGACATCTGTCGTTTTGGTCTTGGCTTGGAGACGGGCAGTGTTGAAAAGTCCTCCATCAGCTCTGGTGTGTAACCAGATTCCCTCACTGCTATCCTTGAATGCGTATCGAAGTAGTACAGAGAAGAATATTGCGAACAGTGTTGGTGCGAGTACACAACCTTGTTTAACTCCGCTTCTGACTGGAAAGGCTTCTGACTTGGCTCCATCGAACTGCACTGTGCCCTGCATATTTTCATGGAACTCTCTGATGATGGCAAGTACGTGAGGGGGACAGCCGATTTTTACCACTGTTTTGAATAGCCCTTTGCGACTGACATAATCAAAGGCTTTTGTAACAAAATCCATAAATTATTTAAATTATTAAATAATGTTCTATTTTATTCAATTGAAAAAATATAAAATTTAAAATGTCTATTAAATAGATTTTATTTATATACTAACCTTCCTTTGCTTTTTTTATTTGTTCCCCCTTTTCTTTCAGCTTTTGTACTAAGACATTGTACTATAAGAAAACAACAAAAACATTACATTGTTAATAACAGGCCTATAAATACTAAATATTTAATAGGGATCTATCAATGCAGTATGAGTAAGTGGGAGGGTTAAATTATTGATTTTTAAAAGTTTGGATCTTATGTACTTGGTTATTTTAACAGATAAGATAATTTTAAAAACCCATTAATTAATTTAATGCCTTTTAATACCAATAGTTTGGAACAAAGCTATTTTTAGGTAAAAAGAAAATGGTAAGCTGCTAAGCAGTAAAAAGATAACTATTACCAAATAACCATTGCTCAATATAATTTTTTTTTTTCTGAACACTGAACTAACTCTAACTTACGAACAGATCAAATTAAAAAAGGACCTATTAATTTACAAACATACATGATTTACTGAAACAATTGTTTGTTTACCAAGAAAACTACAACCAAATATCTCCATTATTTAACATCATCAAGCAGTTCCACAAAAACATGCAGGGCACAGTGTGCTCTAACGGTGCCGCCTCAGAATCTTTTCCAGTGAGTAGTGGAGTAAAGCAAGGTTGCGTGCTGACTCCTACTTTATTTGCAATCTTTTTCTCAATCCTACTCCAGTATGCCTTTAAAATCAACAGCGAGGGGACATACATCCACACTAGAGATGACGGGAAATTATTCAACATTGCCCGCCTTAGAGCTAAGACTAAAACAAGAAAGGTCTTGCTGCGGGAGTTCTTGTTTGCGGACGATGCCGCTTTGGTATCTCATACAGCAGACGGCTTGCAGAGCCTCGTATCCAGCCTATCCGCCGCACTGCAAAGAGTTTGGCCTGACAATTAGCCTAAAGAAAACTAACATTATGACGCAGGGCGCTGACTCCCTCCCCACTATCGCCATCGACAACTACGACTTGGATACTGTTGACAGATTCACATATCTGGGATCCAACATATTGATCACCCTCTCAATGGAGGATGAGATAAGTGGAAGGATAGGGAAGGCCGCAACTGTTATGGCCAGACTGAAGATAAGAGTCTGGTCAAACGCCAAACTCACAACAAGAACTAAGCTGCAGGTGTAACAGGCCTGCGTACTGAGCACACTCCTGTATGGATGCGAGTCATGGACCACATACTCTAACCACGAAAGAAGGCTCAATGGCTTCCACCTCAGATACCTGCGCCACATCCTTGAAATTAAATGGCAAGACAAAGTCCCCAACACGGATGTCCTGTCCCAAACAAACATGTGTAGCGTCTCAGCCATGTTAATCCAAAGACGCCTCCGCTGGCTTGGACACATCAAGCGAATGCAACCTTGTCGCATACCAAAGGACGTGCTATACAGCGAGCTGGCGACAGGGAAAAGGTTAGTTGGACGGCCTCGTCTGAGATACTTAGACATATGCAAAAGAGGCATGAAGTCGGCCAACATCGACATCTCAAACTAGGAGGAGCTGGCAGAGGATCGATCCTCATGGCGGGGCATCATGAAGGCAGGATCACTACATGCCAAGGAGCAAAACAGGTCGGACACAGCTGCAAAAAGAGCGAGGAGGAAGGCCGGTAAATACTGTTCCACCGCATTCGTGTGTGGGAAATGCAACAGAGACTGCCACTCGAGGATTGGTCTCACCAGCCACACCAACAGCTGCAAGCAAATCAAGCAAGCAAGATAATCTATCGTCTCCCGCAGACGGAAAGATGCCATACATATCTCCAGTCATGAAAAAAAATTTCATTACTCACATAAATGGCAGCAACTTAACCACACACACACATATATATATAAGTTTGTACACACCTGACTTTGGTTCTTCTTGTAGTTATCTAGTAGTTCTTCATGTTTATCTATCACTGGAAGTATAAGAAAAGGTCTTTCAATTCAAAAAAATGTTAATCACATTTTTTTCTATCAATTATCAATCAAGGGGGAAAAAAAACTTATGCAAAAATTGTACTTGGATTGTGATAACGCTTAATTGCATAGATTAAAAGTCACAAAGATTTTGCTAAACCTGGGTCTAGAATCAACTGTCTTATATCTCACATATCAAATAATATATATATTATATAAATATAAGTTTTGACACAAAAAGTTAAGATGAAAATAGTTAAATAATCCTATCATGGGCAATAAAAAATTATGTTAATTTAGGCTATAGATTTGTAATTTTTATTATGCTTATTTTTAATTTAATATTGATTTTTATTATTAATTTAATTAAATATCATTTACAGATTATATTAAAATGAAATTTTTAATACTTAAGCTTAGGAGGGGAAGGCTCCAGTTTGATTAAATATATTGACAATTAGGCTTACCTACAAAATTGCAATTGGCAATTGCTTCACTTTCAATATTCTTTATGATAGCATGTTATTAGTTATTGTTATTCTGATTTAAAACTTTGAAAATCTACATAATCTTGTTAATTTAATCAATTTAAATCACTAAGACTAAGTAGAATTCATTAAGTAAGTGTAAGCTGATTACCTCTCATACAATGGTTTGATAAGGTTTTGATGACTTTCTCAAGTTCTTTGCATTTGTTTTGCCAGAAATCAGTATCATTTTGGCCTACAGATGTCATTTTTTCAAATACAATTATGTGGTTAATTTCAATATCTGTAGTGCAGCCTTTTACTTTAGTGAAAGTGAAATAAATCTTGTTTTTATACTCTTTCTAACTTTTGGCTGAAAAAAAAAGAAAATAATTATTTTAAACATTAAAATATAGACAACTTAAGCAGGCTTATCTTTAACTAAAATTCATGATATCAGGTGGTCCGGTGGTAACTAATGTACTCATGATCTATCTATGTCAATGTCTATGTATGGTAGTTTGGTTTAAGTCAAGACTTGTATGTGGTGGCAGTGGTGGTTGTGGTGGTAAATTAAAAAAACATGATTATGATAGTGAGAGTGAGACTACTATTACTATTAATTTCAAATTTGGATGGAAATATTGATCTAAGTTAGTTATAAGAATGTTTATATTATTGACAAGAATATAATTGAATTGAAGGAAGTATAAACTATAAGTATAATTTATTATAATCATAATAATAATGTAATTACTAAATATTACTGTTACTGTTATTTTTCTAATTATAATATAATTGCTTCATTAAATCATCATGTAATGATTCAATGATGATCATTATGAATTACAGTAGTAGTAGTAATAATTAAATTAGTAATTTAGTAATCAAAATTTTAATATTAATAATATTAATAATAGTTTTAATTTTAAGTTTTAATTATTATTATTATTTATTATTACACTTATTTATCATTAATATTAATATTATTATATTTATGTAGCCGAGTGGTGACGTAGCTTACAGTTTAAATAAAATCACAATAAAACAATCAGGTCTGAGAACTATAGCTTTTTAATGTAGGCAGTGTCTACACGTCCGGCGCGCCGGACGTCTATCTCCGGCACTATGTGTCCGGCGACCAAGTCACATGACCGCCGTAACAAAGTGGCGAGAGATATCGTGTCGGTCAGCCTTGTCACGTGACTGCGAATAATTCAAAACTATTGTTAATTTTAAAATCTATTTCTCTACCAAGTAATGTACTGAGTATCTTGAATGCAAATAATAGAAAAAGAAACTTGTAAACATTTTTGTTTAGTTTGTTATTTTTTGTGTACCAGTAATCCATAAAATAAATTAGGGGCCAGTGTGGCAACCAATAAAAGTTAAAGATTTCATTTTAAATTATTTCAATTGCTACAAAATATTAAAAAACTTCTCATGAAACTACTGTTGCTGAGGAACATGATAATATAACTATATACAAAATATTTTAATTAAAATGGGAAGAAAAAAAACGACCCTATCCCCGGTATAGAGCAACCCTATCGTCAAGCAACCACTCTACCACAAGACCACACAAGATGTACTAAACCGTACTTCGTTTGGAATTATAAAAACTACTAGCCGTCCGGCCATGTCCGGCGGTCACGTGACAAGCCGCCGGACGTGTATCTTGCGCACTACACGTCCGGCGCGTTAAATGTAAGGTACAATCCGTTGACAGAGCCGACAGGAAACCCGACGCATCCGTTCCACACCACAATCTCACAAATGTACACACTCCAAGTCCCAGTTCGCCCCCCCCCCTTCCACACAGTCACAGGGAACCCGCGTCCAGAGCTGACCATGGGTCAACCCCGGAGCAGGGATGGTTATTCCCGCGTGTAAATAACCTACATAAAATGTAAGGCCAGTACACAGCTGTGTGTTACTTTAAATGACCATGTGTTCCCATGCATTCTTCATAGCCTTTATTGTTGCTGCCTATTTTCGCATTTAGGTCGCCCATGAGTATAACCATATTGCTCTTAGGACACCTTTGGACCAGGGTTCGCAGTCTGTTGTAGAAATCCTCTTTGTCCTCTTCTTTACTATCGTTGGTAGGAGCGTACACCTGTAGGATGTCCATATTGATTTTTCGTTTTTTGGTCTTAAATCTTGCCGTGATTATACGGGAACCATGCGCTTCCCACCCTATAAGTGCGTTCTGGGCAGTTCTGGAAAGCATGAGTGCCACTCCTTGGTTGTGCGCCGCATTTTCATCTTCGTGGCCTGAATATAGCAGCAGTTCCCCTGTGTTGAGCTTTATCTGACCTGAGCCTATCCATCGAGACTCACTTATTCCCAAGATGGCTAGTTTGTATCTCTGCATTTCAGCAGCAACTTGGACAGTTTTTCCAGTTTCGAACATGGTCCTTACGTTCCATGTTCCTAGACTGGTGGTGGTCCTAGTGGAGAGGATGGTTGTCCGCCGGTTGGTTTCCAGTTGGCTTTGGTCACCCAGCTTCATTAATTCTCTGTTAGGAGACCCATCCTTTCCAAGGTCCGAGTTTCCTTTAGAAATTTTTCTTTGTGTTTTTGTAGCAGGGCTTTTTTACAGGGAAGGGTTGCTAGCTTGGTCCAAAATGTCCTGCCGAGCACGTCCCTCCAGGGCACCTATTATCCAGATGACCGCTGAGGTTGCGGGCATCGGCTGAAGTTCCAGGAATAACCTTACTTCCTTCACAAACTGTTCTGCATTGCACTCGCCATTAAATTTAGACAGCTTGGGTGGACTGTTGGCTAGGTGAAACTGCTCTACTGCACTTCGGTCCATCGGTCGGTCTGTGTGTGTTCTGTCTATGATTGTGTTACCTTTTCTTTAAAACTGTCCTCAAAGAATCCTGCCGACAACGCCAAAACTGTAGCCGAGTGGTGACGTAGCTTACAGTTTAAATAAAATCACAATAAAACAATCAGGTCTGAGAACTATAGCTTTTTAATGTAAGGTACAATCCGTTGACAGAGCCGACAGGAAACCCGACGCATCCGTTCCACACCACAATCTCACAAATGTACACACTCCAAGTCCCAGTTCGCCCCCCCCCCTTTTTTCCACACAGTCACAGGGAACCCGCGTCCAGAGCTGACCATGGGTCAACGCCGGAGCAGGGATGGTTATTCCCGCGTGTAAATAACCTACATAAAATTTAAGGCCAGTACACAGCTGTGTGTTACTTTAAATGACCATGGATGTGTCCGAGCTTGAGGTTACCCATAGCAGTCACACTATGACTATGAGAGTGGACCATGGATGTGTCCGTGCTTGGGGTTACCCATAGCAGTCACACTATGACTATGAGAGTGGACCATGGATGTGTCCGTGCTTGGGGTTACCCATAGCAGTCACACTATGA